AGTGGTTGCCTGGGGTCCGCTGGGAAGGGGCATGGGAAACCCTGCAACGTGATGGAAACATTCCATTTCCTGGTAGATGCCTTCCCTTCTCCCAGTTTCTGGCAAAACCTTTTGGATAACCACATAAAACTTGTCTGGCCTCCATGACACACATTGTGGGAAGTCCAGCACTTTCCTCAAGATATCTCGTGATTCCTTGAGACGAAGTGAAGTGGGATAAATATTCTCCTGAACACCTGGACTGTCGCCCTGGAACCTGGCTCAAGTCCCGAGACACAGGTGGGGCTCAGTCGGCATGGGATGAATGCACACCAGTGCACCTAGCCAGGCTGAGCTTGGGTGGTGATGTTGTCCTCCCTGCTGCCATTTGAACCTCAGTCCTCATCTGCAGAAATCCTGGGCCTAGGGGACCATGCAGATGGCTTCCCTCGCCTGATGCCTCCAGCTGTCTTAAGGCTTAGGCTGGCACTGGCGTAGCCTCCCTCCAGCTGTACCAGGAAACAGGACACATATGTTGGGGGTCTGGGCCACCAGGCCATGTGAGGAGACCAGCTACCACAACCAGGGCTTGCTGAGACAGGATTCCAGACATGGGGGACAGTGTGGCTGAGCAGTCAACGTGACCTACTGGGCCTGGGAGAACCCTGGGCTCTATTCTCTCAGGGGACCCTGGGCTGCCCTGTGGGAGTGGGGTGCGTGTGAGCAACAGAGACAGACTGAGAGGTAGCTTCCCAGCAGGGCGCCCACCCCATCTCTTTCCAATCATGGGCACGCCTTTCCCTGCAGTTCTGAAAGAAGTGGTTCCTGGAGCTCTGTGCTGGGCGGCCCCAGCTCTTTAAAGAAAAAGAAAAAAAAAAAAAAAACACTGGAAATTGGAGGAATTCCATTTTTAGAATTGAAGTCTGAGACCAGAGAGGGTGTGACTTTGGCTGAGAGCAAGGCAGGCCAGATCCCAGATTAGCCAGGTCCGGATGCCAGGCAGCCCCTCCCTAGCCCAGCACGCCCGTCCGGTGACTCGGCAACTCGTCTTGAAGAGGGTGAGCAGGCAGCAGGGAGTCAGCCAACCTGCTCTTTCCATGGCCTATGCTTCCCTTGTTCCCATCCCTCCTTTCCTGCCGGGTCACCCCTCCCAGCCGGGGGACAGGCACCTGAGTACAGCTGCCCAGCCAGGGATAAGCTTCAGGCTACCTCCACCCTGCCCCTCTTCTCTCCCTCTTTCCTCCCACCCCCTTCCTCCCTTCCTTCTTCAGGCATTCACAGACAGGGCTGCCCACCAGATTGCAGACCCTCCAGGACCAAAGGGAAATCCCTGCCTTCTTATCTCTTCCAAAAAGCTGCTCACAAAGACATACATCAACAAACATCTACAGCAAAAAGATGAACAGTTTAAAAAATAACCACTTCCGGTTCCATTCTCCACTTGAGGCAAATGGGACTGTGTGGTTTGTTCCATGTGGGCACTGCACTTTCCTTTCTGTGGCTCCTCCACTGCTGCAGCCTTCCCACCTGCCACGTGAGTGTCTCTCTCCCCTATCTCCTGGGTCCCCAAGGGACACAGGCGGGTGGATCACTGGAGGTGGGGAGTTCGAGACCAGACTAACCAACATGGAGAGACCCCCTCTCTGCTAAAAATACAAAATTAGCTGGGCGTGGTGGCGCATGTCTGTAATCCCAGGTACTGAGAAGGCTGAGGCAGGAGAATCGCTAGAACCCAGGAGGTGGAGGTTGCGGTGAGCCAAGACTGCACCACTGCACTTCAGCCATAGGCTCTATGCTTGTTTCTGATGTCCCAGGGGCCTGGCAAATGGCAGGAGGTGGGTGGTCCCCCCCACGCTTTTTTTGGAGACAGGGTCTCACTCTGTTGCCCCGGCTGGAGTGCAATGGCACAGTCATAGCTCACTGCAGCCTTGACCTCCTGAGCTCAAGTGATCCTTCCCCGTCAGTTCAGCCTTCTGAGTAGCTGAGACTACAAGGCTGTAGCACCATACCTGGCTAATTTTTAAATTCTTTTGTAGAGTCAGGGTCTCACTATGTTACCCACGCAGTACCTTAGGAGCCCAACCCCGGCTGCTAAGAGCTCCAAGGACTGGCAGGAACTCCTGAGGATCATGGCAGAGCTCAGGGACTTAAGGGGACTTGATGAGAATCCCCTTGAAAGGGGAGCAAGAGGAGCAGCTCTGTGCAATAGAAGCCTGGAGAAGGAGCAGCCCAGCCCTCCTCTCATGCCTGCTTCAGGGGTGCCCTTGCAGCACGTCAGGTGCTGTGAGGATGAGGACACCAGCCCCTCCTGTTCTCCGCTCACAGCAGCTGTGGAAACTGACCACACAGTGCACATTGGGGAACAGATAGGCAGGTGCTCAGAGGAGGCCTTGACCCAGGCAGGTGCTGTGAGAAAAGGCTTCCCCCAGGAAGTGAGTATCAGCTGAATCCTGGAGGACTGCGGGCCAAAGGGGAGGGAGAACATTCTAGGCAGAGTGAATATTATCTTACGGGGTGTGGCTATGTGAGAGACCAGGGTGAACTCAGGGACAGCTAACGGTGTTCAGGGGACAGGAGACCGGGAGGTTGGCAGCACCAGGCCCTGGGAGCCTTGTCAACCAAGCCAAGGAGTTGGAATTTGCTGCAGAGAGTGGTGCATGGCAGCATTGGTAGATGTGGTGGATGAATTGGCCTTTTCTCCTTTCCCCCATCATTCCAGGTTCATTCCTGCCTGAGGACTCCTGCCTGCCGAGCTCTCCTGGGGCTTTTAAAAATTTTTATTTTTGAGACAGAATCTGGCTCTGTTGCCCAGGCTTGAGTGCAGAGTGCCATCTTGTTTCACTGCAACCTCTGCCTCCTGGGTTCAAGCAATTCTCCTGCCTCAGCCTCCCGAGTAGTTCAGACTACCGGTGTGTGCCACCACACCCAGCTAATTTTTTGTATCTTAGTAGAGATATGGTTTCACCATGTTGCCCGGGTTGGTCTTGAACTCCTGAGGTCAGGCAATCCACCTGCCTCAGCCTCCTGAAGTGTTGGGATTACAGGTGTGAGCCACTGCGCCTGGCCTCTCCTAGGGCTTTGAATACCTGCCTCCTTCCTCTCATTTGGGTCTCTGCTCACCCACCTGCCACTGAGTTCACCCCTGATCACATAGCCTCTGCCTGTTCCATCATCTCTGCAAGATCCGATATTTCTTTATGTGTTTATGGCCTACTTCTCCTCACTGGAATGCAAACTCTTAGAAAGCAGAGATCTTATATATCTCGTTCACCTATGCATCCTTGGCTCTCATCGTGAGGATCATGGAGAGCAACAAATATTTGTTGAGAAAGTAAAAGAACAAGGACAGAGTTGTCGCAGTGGAGATAGATTAAAAAAATACTGAGAGGCTGGGCATAGTGGCTCACACCTGTAATCTCAGCACTTTGGGAAGCCAGGTGGAAGGATAGCTTGTGGCCAGGTGTTTGAGACCAATCTAGGCAACATAGCAAGATCGCCTCTCTGCAAAAAAATTAAAAACCATTAGCTGCGGTGGTGGTGCACACCTGTAGTCCCTAGCTGTTGGTGAGCTGGGGACTGGAGGGGCAGAGTAGCTGTTTGGGTATCAGGTGGGCAGTCACACCCCGCCCGGCCGGCTGGAACGCGGGTGGGGGCGGGGCGCTCTGGCTACTTGTCCCTAGCTACTGGGGAAGCTGACGCAAGAGGCTCTCTTGAGCCCAGGAGTTTGAGGTTACAGTGATTGCCACTGTGCTCCAGCCTGGGTGACAAAGATACCCCAACTCAAACAAAGAAATATTGAGGAAGTAGAATCTTATTCACCTGTTCTGGTAGGGAATAAGGGAGGCGCGCAGCCATCCCGGGTTTCTGGCAAGGGTTGTGGGTGAGCAGAGGGGACAGTTACTGGGCCCAGAGGAACAGAAGGAATCAGCACTGGATGCTCGGCGGTGTCCAGCCTAGTGGCTGAGCTTGTTGACATCCAAGCTGCAGTCTGGCTGAAATCACGACCCTGAAAGTGGTGTGGAGAGGGATTGTTTGACCCTGACTCACTGCCTCTCCCTGGGCCAACCCTAACAGCTGTGTTACCCTAGGAGCTCCCCGCTTGTAGCCCACCTTTGTCTTCATAAATGAGATCAAAATAACCAGAGCTCCGTTTCTCCGGTGACTGCGGGGCGTAACTGCAGGGCTGACACAGGGCTGCTGGTGCTGGGTGATAATGTCGGAAAGGAACAGCAGTTGATGGTTGACGCGGTGGGGGAACTGGCCCAGGAACCCTTCCAGGTTAAACGACGCCTCCGGGCCCCGCACTTGGGACGTCTGCGCACCGGGAGGGTTTTTCTCCAGCCGCCGGCGGCAGCGAGCGGAGCCTCGCCCACTGAATCAGCACGCCCTCCCGGCTGGCTGCTGAGTCAGGCCTGCGGAGCCGGCAAAGCCGCAGGACCCGACCCAGGCGCGCTCCGCTGCCCTTCAGGCTCGGCTGGAGGTCGAGTCCCTGCAGCCGGGGCGACGCGCCGGTGGCTGCGTGGGGACAGGGGGTGGGCGTCTCCCATCCTCACAGCCTACACCCCGGCCCTTCCCCTGAGCCCGCCTGAGGTGCAGTGTGAGCCAAGCAGGAGCGCCGGGGAGGGAACAATGACATGGGGAGGGCGCCGGGTTAGGGGTCAGGATCTCGACCGAGGGCCTCCTAGTGGGGTTCTCGGGGGACCGAGATGAGCGCACGAACCTCGCGGGCCTGGGAGTGGAGCGCGGCGGGGGCCCAGTGGTGGCGGCCCAGTGGTGGCGGCCCAGTGGTGGCGGCAGCGGCCGGGCCTGCACCTTCCCCGGCCGTATTCCGGTCGGGCCCACAGCCGGCGGGAGGGGAAGCCGCCCAGCGCTCGGTCGTCACGGCTGCGGCGTCGGAGAGACCCGGGCCTCGTCGCCCACCGCCCGCGCCACGCCCTGCCCCGAGCGCCCCGTCCCGTCCGCGTTTCAGCCGGGAGGCCCGCGGGGTCCTGCACCATCACCCTCCTCCCTGTGACCGCCCACCTGATACCCAAACAGCTTCCCCGCCCCTCCAGTCCCCAGGTCGCCGAGCGCTTCCAGGGAGCTACCCAGCCTCAGTTTCCCCGGACCCGGGCGGTGCGAGGGGCAATGACGTCATGCCGGCGCGCGGCATTGTGGGGCAGGGCGAGGCGGGGCACCGCGGGAGCAATACTGAGACGCCATTTTCGGCGGCGGGAGCGGCGCAGGCGGTCGAGCGGGACGGGCTGGGTCGGCGGGGCTGCAGCTGCGAGGAGGAGCGGCGGGGCTGCGCTTGGCGACCGAAGGGACAGCGCGCGGGCGGCCGAGGATGCTGCGGGGCGGCTGCGCCGGCGCCCCTCGCCAGTGAGCGCTGTTCCGCGCCTCAGGCGGCCGAGGCGGGCTCGGCGCGCAGTTGCTGCTCGGCGCACGCGCCCGGCGCTCCTGGTGCTGACAGCGCGAGAGAGCGCGGCCCTCAGGAGCTGGACGGTGAGTCCCCGGCGTGCGCCCCGGGCCGCGGCCCCCTCCTCATCCTCTGCCCTGTCGCCGCCCCGGGCGCAGCTCCGTCCCCGTCCGGGTTTGGGTCCCGGCCCCTCTCGGTTCCCACCCCCGGCTGCGCTGCAGTTCACCGCCCCTGCTGGTCCGCGACCCCTTGCAGGTTCAGGTTGGCTTCCCCTCCCCGGCCCCTTTCCCAGCCCCGGCTCCCGGCGCCGCGCGTCCTCCCCATTGGCGTCCCACTGCAGGTTCCGGTACCCGGTCCAACCAGGGCCCCGCCCTGGCCCCGCATCCCCGGCTCAGCCCTGCTGCGGCCGGCGGTGGCCGTTCCTAGGGACAGCTGCGGACCCCGGGAGCCCGCGACAGGGGAGGTGACCGCCCCGGGATCGCGGCGAGCGGGGAGGCGGGCGGCCCGGCGGGGCTGCTTTGTCCGATTCCTCCTCTTTCTTCCGCCCCCGCCTCTCGCGGCACCGCCCTGAGCGGACGCGCCTGTCATCCTCGCGGGCGGCGGGGGGCCCGGTCCCTACCGAGAGTCGACTGCACCTCGCCTCCTTGGCGACCCCTTTTTTTTCAGTAACCAGATGCGAGACGTTTCAGGCGACCCTGTTCACCTAGGCTGGCGTTGCTCCAACTAAACTTGAAGCAACCCCCGTCCTGGGATGCTTTTTCGGTGTAAAATTGGGTGCACCCTTTTCCTTAAAAAAATTGAAATAAAGCGTTAAAAAAGTAAAGTCTATGCGTGATGGAGTGGATGGTTTTATAACAACATATGTAGGTCATTTCTAGGCATATTTGTATTAGGATTATTGCTGCCTGTTGTTTTATTAAGAATTTACATATTAAGCGTTTGAAAAGGAATGCTACAAAAATTTTTTTTTTTTTTTTTTTTTTTTGTTATTTATTTGAGACGGAGCCCCTCACCCAGGCTGGAGTGCAGTGGCGAGATCTCGGCTCACTGCAACCTCCGCCTTCCAGGTTCAAGCGATTCTTCTGCCTCAGCCTCCCGAGTAGCTGGGACTACAGGTGGTCTTCGTCATGCCTGGCTAATTTTTATCTTTTTAGTAGAGATGGGGTTTCACCATATTGGCCAGGCTGGTCTCGAACTCCTGACTTTGTGATCCACCCGCCTTGGCCTTCCAAAGTGCTGGGATTACAGGTGTGAGCCACCATGCCCATCCAAAAAAAAAGATATTTAAAAAAAAGTGAGAACAAAAAATTTGAAATACAGTATTTCAGGTGTTCTTTAAAAGGGCAGTTGGATCTTTGATTCTTTGCATTAAATTATAAGGTGTTTTTTTCCCGTACAGCATGACTAAGCCATTGATCAGAATCAGCTCAGAATACATTGCACTAGTTTAGTGAAAAACACATATGGAAACTGGAATGACCTCCTTAAGTTCCCAAGTTACATTACTATCATGGTCTTGCTTCTTTCAGGGATTGTCAACAAGCCTGTTATGGTGAGAAATTTGACCTGTTCTGTTTGCTAAATATTTGTGAGAATACAATGATACTAAATCTGAAGTGTATTTCAACTTGTTTGGAATTCCGTGTGGGAGGGTAGGCACTGTAAAGAGCCAGTGTCTCTCCAAGTCCTCAAAGAATGCAACATCATGTTGCAGTTGAGCCTGGCAGCCCTGTGCTGGCACTGAGTGCTGTGGAGGACCCAAGTGGTGACCTCTAACCTTACTGCAGCCTTGGCACACCTCACCTTACCTAGCATTGTCTTAGAAAAGCATCCAGACATGCACAGGAGTCTGGATAGTGTTTATCTCCAGCAAGGGGAGGGAATGACACTGGGGAGAGGCACACAGTATCTTAAATATTTCATAACAAATAACTACGGTCATTTATACGTTTTTAAAATTTATACTTTTTTTTTTTTAAGACAGAGTTTCACTCTTGTAGCCCAGGCTGGAGTGCGATGGCGTGATCTCCACTCACCACAACTTCTGCCTTCCAAGTTCAAGCGATTCTCCTGCCTCAACCTCCTGAGTAGCTAGCATTATGGGCATGTGCCACCATGCCTGGCTAATTTTGTAGTTTTAGTAGAGATGGGGTATCTCCATTTTGGTCGGGCTGGTCTCAAACTCCTGGCCTCAAGTGATCCACCTGCCTTGGCCTCCCAAAGTGCTGGGGTTACAGGCATGAGCCACCTTACCCAGCCAATTTATACATTCTTTTTTTTTTTTTTTTTTTTTTTTTTTGAGACGGAGTTTCACTCATGTTACCCAGTTTGGAGTGCAATGGCGCGATCTCGGCTCACTGCAACCTCCACCTCCTGGGTTCAGGCAATTCTCCTGCCTCAGCCTCCTGAGTAGCTGGGATTACAGGCACACACCACCATGCCCAGCTAATTTTTTGTATTTTTAGTAGAGACGGGATTTCACCATGTTGACCAGGATGGTCTCGATCTCTTGACCTTGTGATCCACCCGCCTCAGCCTCCCAAAGTGCTGGGATTACAGGCTTGAGCCACCGCGCCCGGCCTCAATTTATACATTCTTAAGCATGTTTCTCAATGTTGGAAAAAAGTCAATGTGTCACTTTCTGTGTAGGGCCATAAACTATCTTAAAACATACTTACAGAAAAGGAAAACTAGACTAGAAAAAAGATGAAATGTAGGATTAGTATAACTTGGAAACAGTAGATAAGTGGGATGTTAGAAAGCAGTATGTATGTATGTATGTATTTATTTAGAGATGAGTCTCGCTCTGTCACTCAGGCTGGAGTGCAATAGCTTGATCACTCACTGCCATCTCTGCCTCCTGGGTTCAAGTGATTCTCCTGCCTCAGGCTCCCTAGTAGCTGGGACTGCAGGCACCCATCATCACACCTGGCTAATTTTTTGTATTTTTAGTAGCGACGGGTTGACTAGGCTGGTCTCGAACTCTTGACCTCAGGTGATCCACCTGCCTCAGCCTCCCAGTGTGCTAGGATTACAGGTGTGAGCCATTGCGCCTGGCCTGAAACCAGTATTTTATGTAACAAACAAGTGATCAATAATATACTGAAACGAGAGTATTTGGGAAGATTTAAATGTCAAATTTCAGGGCATAGAATAAAAATGACAAGCAAATTAAGACTGCAGACACTGTTCTTTTTTTTTTTTTTTTTTTTTTTTTTTTGAGACGGAGTTTCGCTCTTGTTATCCAGGCTGGAGTGCAATGGCGCAATCTCGGCTCACCGCAACCTCCGCCTCCTGGGTTCAGGCAATTCTCCTGCCTCAGCCTCCTGAGTAGCTGGGACTACAGGCACGCGCCACCATGCCCAGCTAATTTTTTGTAGTTTTAGTAGAGACGGGGTTTCACCATGTTGACCAGGATGGTCTCGATCTCTTGACCTGGTGATCCACCTGCCTCGGCCTCCCAAAGTGCTGGGATTACAGGCTTGAGCCACCGCGCCCGGCCCCGCAGACACTGTTCTTAATATCTGTTGGGAACCAACTGAATGGCAGGTACTGTGCTGAGTAGTCAATGATATGTTGATAAAAGAGCCACTCTTGGTCCGGTGTGGTGGCTCATGCCTGTAATCCCAGCACTTTGGGAGGCCGAAGTGGACAGATAACCTGAGGTAAAGAGTTCAAGACCAGCCTGGCCATCATGATGAAATCCCATCTTTTTTTTTTTTTTTTTTTTTTTTTAAGATGGGGTTTCACCATGTTGGTCAGGCTGGTCTCAAACTCCTGACCTCAGGTGATCCACCCGGCCTGGCCTCCAAAGTGCTTGGGTTACAGGCATGAGCCACCACGCCTGGCTGAAACCCCATCCTTACTAAAAACACAAAAATTAGCTGGGCGTGGTGGTGCATACCTGTTATCCCAACTGCTTGATAGGCTAGGGCAGGAGAACCGCTTGAACTGGAGCGGTGGAGGCGGCGATGGAGGTTTCATTGAACTCAGATCGCGCCATTGCACTCCAGCCTGGGCAAAAGAGTGAGACACTGTCTCAAGAAAAAAAAAATGCTGCTGTCCTCTAGGAGCTCACAGGCTGGCCTGGATAGGTAGCACAGACCAGGTTAAAGGGTGTGATGAGCCCACTGAGGAGGTGATTCTTTGCAGAAGAAAAGTATAAATCATCTAGTGTCAGGGCCAGGGGGTGGGATTGGGATTTTGCGTCCTGTTTGGAGGCTATAAATCTGGAAGTCGTGCTGCTGTAAAGGGGCATGTTGGGAAGGGGGCGTAGGGGTGAGAGTGGAAAGATGAGGTTAGGAAAGGCCTTGAATGACTCCATACAAGGCTGCCTTCATTCTGAGGTTTACAAGGGAGGGTTGGAAGATTCTTTTTTTTTTTTTTTTTTTTTTTAAGACAGGGTTTCACCATGTTGGTCAGGCTGAATCTTGAACTCCTGACCTCAGGTGATCCGCCCGCCTTGGCCTCCAAAGTGCTTGGATTACAGGCGTGAGGCACCACGCCTGGCCAGGGTTGGAAGATTCTAAAGAGCCAGGTGACACTTGAGAAAGAGCAGAGGCAGTGGTGGGGCAGGTGCTGTGAACTGGGATGAGATTAGTTAGGAAGCCATTAACCCCAGCCGAGGACTGCAAGCCTCAGAACTAGGGCAGTGACAGAAGGAACAGAGAAGCTAGATGAGGGGCAGGGGCTGGGCTCTAAGGGTTACAGTGGACCTGGTTTGTGACTGATTGGATTGGGCTAAATGAGCTGCAGGGAGGACTCTTGCAGAATGATCCTGTGAAAACCTGAGTCAGGTCACTGTCACTCCTCTGCTAAAGCTTTTGTCAGTGTCCTCTGAGCACCCCACCCTCTTTCCATCTTCCTGCTTTGGCCGTACTCAGGCACTCCCAGGCACATCCGCAGTTTTGAACCAAACCAACTCTTCTAGTGATTAGCATTTCCTCACTTCAGCACATACTCATTAGCCTCTGCCCTGCCTGATTTTTCTCCTTAGCACTCCTCACTATGTAAAATACCATATTATTATTTTTTGAGATGGAGTCTTGCCCTGTCGTTCAGTGGCGCGATCTCGGCTCACTGCAACCTTCGCCTCCTGGGTTCAAGCGATTCTCCTGCCTCAGCCTCCCAAGTAGTTGGGACTACAGGCATGCACTACCATGCCCAGCTAATTTTTGTATTTTTAATAGAGAGGGTATTTTACCATGTTGGCCAGGCTGGTCTCGACCTCCTGACCTCAAGTGATCTGCCTGCCTCAGCCTCTCAGAGTGCTAGGATTATAGGTGTGAGCCACTGTGCCCAGCCAATACTGTATTATTTTAATCATTTTCTTTTTTTTTGAGATGGAGTCTTGCTTTGTTGCCCAGGCTGGAGTGCAATGGCACTATCTCTGCTCACTGCAGCCTCCACCTCCTGGGTTCAAGCAATTTTCCTGCCTCAGCCTCCCAAGTAGCTGGGACTACAGGCACGTGCCACCACGCCCAGTTAATTTTTTGTGTTTTTAGTAGGGACGGGTTTTCACCCTGTTAGCCAGGATGGGCTCGATCTCCTGACCTCGTCGTCCGTCCGCCTCAGCCTCCCAGAGTGCTGGGATTACAGGCATGAGCCACTGTGCACAGCCATCTTCTTGTTTTTATTGTTTGTCTCTGCTTACATTCATAATCTCCACAAGGGCGGGGAGTTTTGTCACTTGTATTCAGTGTCAGTGCTTGACATGTAATAGGCTCTTAATAAATGTTTGTTGAAGGAATGCATCTAGAATGACTTCCTCATCTGTAACTTGGTGACTCACTGCCTGGTGACGCTCACCCAAGGAGGGAGAATTAGAAAATGATGAGTTTGTTTTTGGATGTGTTAACTCTGAAGCGCTTGTGGGGCAGCCAAGTGGACTAGTGGGCAGTTAGAGATACATGTCTGGTCCTCGAGACAGAGGCTGAGGCTGGAGGTAAAGATTCCAGAGACCGCATCATATTGTCGAGCCAGTTGGGTGTGATGTCCACCTGGTAGAGATGGTGAATGATCTAAGAGGGAGAGGGCCCTGGGAAACCAAGAGGAGAGAGATCAGTATCAAATTAGCTAAGAAGTCAGGGAAGGGTTGGACTGATAAGTCTCTATTGGATTTTGCTTCTAGGAGGTTACTAATGACCTTTCAGTTTTTTTTTTTTTTTTTTTTTTTTAATATAGTTATATAGAGACAGGGGTCTCACTGTGTTGCCCAGGCTGGTCTTGAACTCTTGGACTCAAGCCATCTGATTGCCTTGACCTCCCAAAGTGTTGGGAGTACAGGCTTGAGCCATTGCACCCGGCTTCAACCTTTTGCCTCTTACCCGAGAATACTACCTCCTAAGGACGGAGGCTATTTAGAGATGACCTGCATTTGTTCCCCCAAGGCATCCTTTGTTGCATTGTACTCTGTAGCCTCTTAGTATGCTCATGGATCAGAAATGAATTATGATTTTATTTTAGTTGTTTTGTTGTTTTTTTTTTTTTTTTTTTTAGATGGAGTCTCACTTTTTCACCAGGCTGGAGTGCAGTGGCGCGCTCACTGCAACCTCCGTATCCTGGGTTCAAGCGATTCTCCTGCCTCAGCCTCCCAAGTAGCTGGGATTACAGGCGCTTACCACCATGCCCAGCTAATTTTTTTGGTATTTTTTTAGTAGAGACGGGATTTCACCATGTTGGCCAGGATGCTTGATCTCTTAACCTCGTGATCTACCCATCTCGGCCTCCCAAAGTGCTGGGATTACAGGTGTGAGCCGCCGCGCTCGGCCGATTTTATTTTAGTTTTAACTAATTTTTGTAGACAGATGAAAGCAGTTTTTTCATCTATGCTTTTTGAATTTGCAAAGTGCTATCTGAACTGAAAACAACAAATATGGAGCAAACATGTTAAGCTGAGTTAATGTGCATATGTGAAGTAAGTTACTTCCTTGGTTCTAAAATGTCTCAGTTACCTTCATTTAAACCATGGA